ACATCTCTCTAATATGGACATCTCTCTAATACAGACATCTCTCTAATATGGACATCTCTCCAACACGGACACCTCTCTAATACAGACATCTCTCTAATATGGACATCTCTCTAATATGGACATCTCTCTAATACAGACATCTCTCTAATATGGACATCTCTCTAATATGGACATCTCTCTAATACAGACATCTCTCTAATATGGACATCTCTCCAACACGGACACCTCTCTAATACAGACATCTCTCTAATATGGACATCTCTCTAATATGGACATCTCTCTAATACAGACATCTCTCTAATATGGACATCTCTCTAATATGGACATCTCTCTAATACAGACATCTCTCTAATATGGACATCTCTCCAACACGGACACCTCTCTAATACAGACATCTCTCTAATATGGACATCTCTCTAATATGGACATCTCTCTAATACAGACATCTCTCTAATATGGACATCTCTCTAATATGGACATCTCTCTAATACAGACATCTCTCTAATATGGACATCTCTCCAACACGGACACCTCTCTAATACAGACATCTCTCTAATATGGACATCTCTCTAATATGGACATCTCTCTAATAAAGACATCTCTCTAATATGGACATCTCTCTAATACAGACATCTCGCTAATATGGACATCTCTCCAACACGGACACCTCTCTAATACAGACATCTCTCTAATATGGACATCTCTCTAATATGGACATCTCTCTAATATGGACACCTCTCTAATACAGACATGTTTATGCCATGGCAGAGCCAACTTGACAAGAGCGAAAAGTAGGCGTATTTCGTTTCTTGATGTGTTTTCGGCGGTCCCTTCTTTCTCCCGAGGGACTGCTTGCGGTCTAAATAAATACTAAATATTGAACTTTTTAGAGCCGCTTTAATCGCAAGACCTTTATTTTCAAAATGCACCCACCTTCACCTAGAAAATTTAGCACCCCCCTCCTCTAACATTTAATTCGTTACACTTTTGGTGTGTCGGGAAAAGGTTGATATTAAGTAATTAATAACTAAAAGTTAAATTTAGAGATGAGGTGACTACCTTATATTGATTGACAGGCATGCTAGATAAAAGGAATGTTGTTAATGGGAATATAATATGTAATGAGAGCGATTTGGGAAGGGAAGAAATACAAAACAAAATTTATAACGCGTAATTTTCTCTTATTGTGGGGATCAAACAAAAGCCTACCACAAAGGGCACCTCCGAAGTGATTAACTTAATAAACGGGATATTGTGATAAACGTGAAACGGGATGTTTTACACAACAATCAAGATAGAGCAAAATTGCGCGGTATACGTAAACAAACAGAGATCGAGATGATAACACGGCAATCGCGAAATGACGTCGAAGCACAAGGAGAACAAACCATCGCACAAAACGCGTCGAGTCAACAGAAGCCAACTTCAAATCGTTTTTGAGAAAGTTTCTTATTTTAACCGATCTACGGCTGATACTAGTGCAACCCTTAAAAGTGCAACCCTATAAGAAAATACGGTCGAAAAGCTCGACGAAAGGCAAAAACATGATGAGAGTAAACGCAAGGAAAAGGCTCGTAACGACAAGCTAAACGAGGAATCTGACTGGATAAGGCAAGAAGAACAGGAAGCTGAAAACAATAAAAGAATTCGTGAGGAAAAATTCGCTTTACAACTTGAGGAAAAGAAATTGGAAAAAGCAGAAAAGAAACGTGTGAAACTGAAATTACCAAATTTGCAAATATCCAAGTTCCAAGGAACATATCTTGACTGGGTAAGATTTTGGAGTCTTTTTTCAATACAAATTGATCAAACATCCATTCCAGATGAAGCTAAATTTTCGTATTTGAAGGAACTTGTCATACCTCAGGTACGTGTAACAATTGAGAAATTACCAGCTGACGGTGTAGGGTATAAGAAAGCCAAGGAATTATTAGAACAAAGATATGACTCTAGTGAAACAGTGAATGCCCATATTCAGGAAATAATGTCACTGCCAATTATTACTGGAATTTCAAGACCTAAGATACACAATTTTTACGACATTACAATGTTAAGGTTTGGAATCCAAGTGAGAATATATACATTTTAAGACCTAACCAGGAACGACTGCGAAAAATACAGCACAAGGTCCTCTGGTAGGAATCGAACCTACGGCCCTGCGATTCCGGTGCAGCGCTCTAACCAACTGAGCTACAGAGGCCAGCTGTTAAGCTGTAACCGTAAGTTCATGTATATATAGGTAATCGGGTGTGCGGGTTGTGATAATGTGTACTTCATAACTTAGATTCTGCACTTCACTTGGTGGAATTAATATTAGAATGTTAGGCTTTGGAATCCAAGTGAGAATATATACATTTTAAGACCTAATAGACCATAGATCAGTGGAATGTACCAAAGTTGTCGATGTTTGAGAGCGAAAGAGAATCCTAAGCATTAAGAGACGGTGTTTTAACTAAACGGGAGAAAAACATAGAGCTAGTGAGTGCAAAAGTAAGACCCAATGTTACAAGTGCCAACGTAAACATCATACATCCATTTGTGACAAAGCTGAACCAAGCCCTACAATGTGCCAACCGAACCAATCCAACGTGATATATCCTGTAGTAGTTGTTGAAGTAGAAGGAGTAAAATGCCGAGCGTTACTGGATACTGGTTCAGGAAATTCTTATGTATCTTCTACGTTGACGAACTTAACAAAAAAGAAGCCAGTCAGACAAGAGATCAAAACAAAGAGATGATGTTGCATACCACTACGAAAAAGATTGATGTTTACAATGTTGGAATCACAAACATTAATAAAAACTTTAGCATGTCATCTGAAGTGAATTGTGTTGATCGCCCAGTGCTACTGACCTTGCAAAATCCACGTTACAGAGAAGTTATTGCCAGTAATTCACACCTTGAAGGCATAGAGATGGACGATGTTGACACGAAGCCAATGTTGTCAGTTCACATGATACTGGGTGCCAGTGATTATTCACGAGTCAAAACAACCACATGCGCCGGCTAAAATTGGAGATGGAAAACCAGTGGCTGAGAAAACGAAACTCGGGTGGACAATCATGTCGCAAGGACGGGAAATGCATCACTCATATTTAATGTTAACGAGAAGCACACAATCATGAAGACTTGCCTATTGGTCACCGAGTAATTTACTACAAGTGTTTCTTACAACCTCATGTAGATTATTGCTGTACAGTTTGGGGACAATCATGTCATATTATTCGCATACATAAACTCCAAAAGTTAGCTCTGAGAATTATTTACGACAAACCGAAGCTAACCTCTTCTGGGCCACTATTTAAAGCTGCTGGAGTCCTGCCTATACAGCAAAGAGTAATGCTACGAACAGCAATAATGGTATATAAATCATTAAACAACTGGGTACCCAAGTACATAAGTGACTTATTTGTCTTAAAGTCATCAGTGACAAAACGAATTACAAGAAGCTCAGAGAACAACGAACTGTGGATACCGCGAACGAAACTAACAATTAGGCAAAAAACGTTGAAATTCAGTGGTGCAACATTATATAACAGTTTACCACGTGCGACCAGACAATCAACGTCATTAAGCTCCTTTAAAATAAGAGCCTATAAATACTTTTTAGATACTTATATATAAGTTATTTGTTTGTACGACTTTTATATGTTTTTGTTGTACTGATGTCCAATTTAATGTGTAGTTTTAATAGTAAATTTGTAATAAGTAGACGATAACAGTTGAACAGAAGGCCCAGTGTAAGATTAGCGTTGCTAAACTGGTTTTTGTATAATTGCACCTTCTTTAAATAAAGTTTATTATTATTATTATTATTATTATTAAGACTACATGGAACTTTGTAGTTTAGATGTTCTGAGGCTCAAGGATCGACCTGAAGGTGATCAAACAACCGTGCTTGAGGAGTTCAAAGAACAGTTGACCTGGAGAGCAGATGGAAAATACGAGACAGCACTACCATGGAAAGCTAGCCATCCCAAATTACCAACCAACATCAACGTTGCGCGACCGAAATTTCAGTCACTACTGAAGCGACTGGATAAACAACCTGCCTTACTTGAGACATACCATCAAATCATCGAAGACCAAGTGGAACAGGGAATCGCAGAGATCGCACCAACAGAACTTAACGAGAAGCACGAACATTACATTCCGCATAACCTGTCGTTCGGGAACAAGCCGAATGGAAAAACGTTCGTATCGTCTACGACGCCTCCGCAAAGGTTAACGAAGATAGTCCGTCACTGAATGACTGTTTAGAGATTGGTCCTCCACTTCAACGAAAGTTGTTATATATTCTTTTGCGAAACCGACTTAAACCTGCGCTATTAGCTGGAGAAATCAAGTAAGCGTTTCTTCTGATCATTATCAGAGAAACCGAACGTGACGCTTTAAGGTTCCTGTGGATAAATAACTTGTACAGCAGAGAAGAGAAGATCTACCGCATGACAAGACTTATGTTTGGTCTGGGTCCAAGTCCATTCATGCTTGGAGGAACATTGAACGTTCATCTAGTGAGGTACATCATCATCCGATTTGTGTTCGAGAGCTTAAAGATGGTACATACGTAGACGATATAAACATTACAAGCGACACAGTGGAAGAAACGAGAAAAATCAAAGAAGATGCTGTGAAAATCCTGGGAGAAGGTGGTTTCCAGTCACATAAATGGCATTCGAACGCCGCAGAATTAAAAAGTGATGTGAAGGAAGATGGAGAAACTATCTATGCGATGGAAAGTCTAGGGACAACATCGTCGGAGACCAAACGTCTTGGATTACGTAGACTGGAAGAAATCAGAAATCACTTTGTCAGTGACATTTCCACCAAACGAAAATAAAGTTACGAAAAGAACGTTCTGAGAACTATGGCAAAAATCTATGATCCGCTGGGATTAGCAGCTCCTATTCTACTCACGGCCAAAGTGATCTTTCGAGATATCTGTCATTCTAAGCTACGATGGGATGCAGATCTATCTTGAAGAGCTAAAGCGACGATGGGAGAAATTGTTTAAGAATTTAAATCTAGAGAAATCGGAGTTATTGTCGAATTGATTCTTCATGGACTTGCAGTTGCCAGCCTTCTTGGTTGTTGCACTGCGATCTATGCTGTTGTCAAGCAAACTGGAGTGATTAGTCAATTGATTTCCAAAACAAGACTAGCCCAACGGGACTTGACTATTCCGCGCCTGGAGTTGGTGAATTGCCACATGCTAAGCCGTAACCTCCCACACAAAAGTTCTTAGTCATATACATATTGCTGGTGTATTCGCATTGTCTGACTCTACTGTCTGTCTGCAATGGATCCGAAGTCAGAGAAGGTATTAACAATTCGTAGCAAATCGGGTAGAGAAGATAAACGAGAAGGAAGAGATTGTGTGGAAATTCGTGCCTAGTAAAGAGAACCCTGCAGATAGTCGGGGATCAAGTGACTTGGAAACTAACGAAATGTGGATGAGCGGTCCTTCATGGCTGAACAATTCCGACAGCTGGCCGGAACAGATTGTTGCTAAACCTTCTGATGTGTCGGAGTCCGAAAGTCGCACAATCAAGACGGCGATGAAAGCTGCTGTTCAACGAAAATCAGATGCCTTTGACGACCTTTTAACGAAAACAGCCCTATGGAAAACTGTGCGGATTTTGGCATGGATCAAAAGATTCGCCGTCAATTCTCGAAGAAGTAAAAGAATCAGCGGACCACTACTAACGACTGAAGAAACTGAAGAACAATTGAAATTTCGGATTAAACGAGCTCAAGAAGACTGTGAAAATTCTGTTCAGTTCAAAGAACATTCTCAACGATTGAATTTCCAGAAAAATGAAGAAGGCATTTACGTGTGTAAGGGGAGAATTCAAGGGTTTTATCCGATTTACTTGCCATCAAATCACCTCCTATCTCTGAAGATCGTCGAACGTGCATATCCTTACACTCTTCACGGCGGGGTTGGGTTAACCATGAGTAAAATACGCGACGATTATTAGATCCCTATATTACGAAGTCGTGTGAAGAGAGTTATTGGCAATTGCTATGGGTGTAAAGATCTTATACAACGCCAATGCCCGCTCCACCTCAGGGGTTAATCTTCCAAAAGAACGAACTGAAGGTGAAATCCCTTTCGACGTAACTGGTGTTGCCTATGCCAGACCAATCTATTACAAGGGCAATGGGGGAGCTGATCGTAAGTCATATATAGTCATCTATACCTGCAGTCTAACTACAGGAGTTCATTGGAGATGCTGCCAAACATGAGCTGTGAAGAGTTCCTGATAAGTTTTAAAAGATTTATCGCCGTAAGAGGTCGTCCGAAGAAAGCCATATCCGATAATGGAATGATTTTTGTGGCTGCTGCCAAGCGAATCAAGAAAGTCGCACGGAACGAAAAGTTGCAAGAATATCTGAGTGAACATGGAGTGAAATGGCAGTTCAATGCAACAATGGAGACGAGAATACATGAAAGAACTTCGCGAAAGGCATAATTTAATACATGATGGGAGAGGGAGCTAAGAAAGGGTGATGTTATGTTGATCAAAGGTGATGAAAAGAATCGTGGATTGTGGAAAATTGGGATTGTTGAACAACTTATATCGGGAAGAGAAGGAGTGGTTCGTGGAGTTAGACTACGTGCAGGAAAATCATTCATGGAAAGACCAATACAATTTCTTTACTTTGGAATAGAGATAGAGAAAACAGTCAGGAAGCTGTTCCAATGAATCCTGCTGCAAATGAGTTCAAACCAAAGCGTAGAGCGGCTGTCGATGCAAGGAAGAATATTGAAATAATTTGTGATCATGAAGAGGAAGAACTTTGATGGGTAGAGACGGTGAATATGTTACGTTTCTAAATAGGGGGAGTGTGTCGGGAAAAGGTTGATATTAAGTAATTAATAACTAAAAATTAAAGTTAGAGATGAAGTGACTACCTTATATGGTATTGATTGACAGGCTGCTAGATAAAAGGAATGTTGTTATTGGGAATATAATATGTAATGAGAGCGATTTGGGAAGGGAAGAAATACAAAACAAAATTTATGACGCGTAATTTTCTGTTATTGTGGGGATCAAACAAAAATCTACCACAGGTGTAAAATAGGTATTCGGACAAATACTGGTGTAAGACATTGTGTAGCCTAAAAAATAATTAGAAGACCAGTGTTCAAAATGGATGTTATTTACTCTGACTCCTATGGTGAACAGCATGTACGTAACAAACTATGGAAACTACGATTATAGAAACTAAAAAAAGTTTAAATTGTTTGAAAATGAGTAGGAAAGTATTAAAAAATTGGGGTCGTATTTTTCAGTTTGAGGGCGCCCCAAGGCCTAAAAAAATACCTGTGGTTCTGACTAGGAATGTCGATATTACTGTTCCCCCTGTGGGGCGAACTTAGCGAGCTTAAGCATGTAGGAGGGGAACGCGACGGCAAACAAACTCGTTGAACCAAATGATTACAGAAGAAAACCTGTCGTCAATTATCCATCGTATGAAAATAATATGAATTATTATTATTATTATGTAATATTTAAACAGGAAGCCTAATCAGTGATCTACACTGTTATCAACTAGGGTCATGAACAGTTTAAAGATCAAGATGAACACAGGGTTTATGATTGAGAAAAGTTCTAGGACCCAGCGACGTCTAAAACGTCCGTGAGATTTCAATTATTAATTTCTGCTCATTTTCTTGCATTAATATGATATTATTAGCTGTTCTCCTTGCACTTTCGTTCTGCTTTGTTGATTAAGTTCTTAATAAAGTTTAAAATTTAAGGTGGTTTCTTGACACGTCCCCGTAGGGAATTCCTAATCCTGGGACACCGGTTTCATATCGTGAAAAAATTAGGGTAGGTAGGTCGGAAAAAATTTTTTTTAAATATTTTTTTCATGGTTTTGGGCTTTTGGCGTTTTTTTGCTGGGCTTCCACTACAGTCCCGACATGACACAGACGACAAGACCCGTTACATATGTACTTGTGTTATGTACATGTTTAGGCAAAGTTGGATAGTTTGTTTCTCACCCACCGCCCCCCTCCCATTATTAATGACCAGCCCCTAAGTATACTGTCACTGTAATAGAAAATATTTAAAATTTCCTCACAATGTTTCCTTGTGTTTCGATTATGCATACAACACATAAATAAACATGGCCAAGCTATCAATCATAATGCCTCTTCTTGCAAGGGCAACAACTTAACTCGACAAAACCCCTGATCTGCACTTTAAGAAATTTTTAACTCAACCTCGACGCAGCTAAATAGTATGAGTCAACTTAATGCAGCAACTGAAGTCTTACGCGCATGAGTCAATTCCATGAGTAACCATGATCCCTCCCGGGATATTGCCGGGCATTTGCTGGGAACGTCATTGCCGGGGGCTGTAAATTTTCTCACAGATTAGTGCACAAGGGTCCATAGATGCCAAGGTCGTGTTTTGTCCATGCGTGAGATGAACACACCGCAGCAACCGTAGGGGGGTCCGGGGGCATCCCCCCCCGAAAAATTTTTGAAATTTGAGTCTCGGAAACAGCATTTCAAGCGTTCTGAGAATATATGGTTTGTTTCTCAAAAACAAGATTTTAGAGGTACATTTTGTGTTAAGGCACAATGTTTAACAAGTAATAATGCATGTGAAAACATGTGCAACTACTAAGTACATCAAACTTTAAGCGGTATAATTGATAGCTTGATGCAATAGCGATTAACAAATGCGCTCAGGTTACATCCTGAAGTAGTTTTACAGCCTGATGTTTATTAGCCTGCGAATACAGCCGGCCTGATTCACTCCTTCGTCGTGATAAGTCCGACGAAGGAGTGAATCAAGCCGGCTGTATTCGCAGGCTAGATGTTTATTGATAGCTTCAATATACCAAAAGAAATTAGTTCAAACATTTTACAATCACCATTATTTCTCTACATTTTAGCTTCTCAGCTAACTTTCTGCTTTATATGCGTGAGATAATCAAACTGAAGCATGTGAGCATGAGAAATGATGCTGAGGCGTGTGTCACACGCTTAATGCGTGAGACTTGGTATCTATGCAGGGTCAGATATCATTTGGCAGCTAAAAGACCTCCGGACATTTGACACTAGCAAGCAAGCTTGTTGAAGTTAATAATAATACAAAATAATATTTGATAATACACTGAACATTACTGAACTAAAGTTTAATACCAGAATACAGTTTTAAGTTAGACAGTTTATAACCCCATGTAATTTTTGCTTGTATGCAATTACACAGGGGTGAGACATTTGTCACCTAACGGTTGTGCGGGGGCTGTACTTTTTTTCTCCTTGTGTCTCCCCACGACTGGGAATTTGCCGGCCTTTCTTTCCAAAAAAAACGCTAATGTCCAGGTATATAATATCCAGATATTAGCAGGGCTGCCAACCCTGGAAGTTTTCAAATCTGGAGAATTAATATTCCATTGAAATCGATGACGTCACGTCGGAAATGACGTCATTATCGAAAAGCCAACTATGCAGTTGTAAATACCTGCTGGTATATATAGATATATACACTGGTTTATTGTCAAACTTCATTATCAACACAAATAACTGTTGATTTCAAGTTTCACATATTATGTACCAGTTTAAAATATCGACATCTTTAATGGCGTCAATACGGGTAAAAAAATCCCTGTATGATGAAGTGTTTACGGAAAATAGCGCCATTCAACCGCTGATTAAAAGCAACGCAGGCAGCAACAAAAGAATTTTATTTTTCCAGCAAAACGAAATTTTAATGTGCAACGCAAATAATCACGTTAAAACCTTTGACAACGAAGAATCAAATGGCTAGTGCATAAATCGACGTTGGTGATTATCCTAATCCGGGAGAATTAAGACAAAATCTGGAGACTGGGAGATTAGGTCCAAAATCTTGAAACTCCCGGATAATCCGGGAGAGTTGGCAGCCCTGTATTAGGATATTAAAATCTAAATGCGTATGTAAATTAAATACTATGTGCGATCAGGCAGCTATTCAGTGAGAAAATAAATTCACAACTGAACATGTAAAACTATTTTGTCACTATAAAGTGAAACAAACAGAATATAGAACTTCTAAATGCAAACAAAAATGACCTGACCCAGTAAAATTGACTTTAAAAAGATCAGGCTCAGGTTCCACTCAACAGGGCAATCCTAACCTGCAAGCAGGCTGTATACATTCCCACATAATGCCCCACATCTCCCCCACCTAGTCAGGCATAACTAAGAGTCAAAAGAGGGAAAACGCCCCACATATCCCCACCTTTCCCTGAGGTTGGGGGCTACAATTATATAGAAACTTCTTGGTTCGAGAGTCATGTGGTATTTGACTGGCCTGTCTGGCCTAGCTAGTTGCTCTGCCAAAGTGCAATCTTTGATAATCTCTAATACCGTAGTCTATAAATAAGAATCTGTCACAATATTTTAGCTCTCTAAACTAGTGAACTAGTCTTTTCCCAGTGAAATAGACGTATAACACGAGACAAAACGAAGAGGCTTTACACATTGTCTACATTTCTAACACTATACATACTAACATACTATTATTAAATACAAATATACTTGCGTGCTTTGTTTTTTATGAAAACCTACCGATATTTGAACTGAGTTTAACATCATCGTTTAACCAGCGACATAGTATATCCGTCATTGTTGTGAAAGAATACAAATCTACAACCAAATTAAAACTATTTCATCGCATTTCACTCATGAATCATGATGATGTTCTCATCATGTACAATCCGCCATGTTGAATATTGCCATAGCAACGACAACACTCCGTCACTCCGTTCAGGGCCTCCAATGGTGAGGGCCTGGGAATGAAGGTCACAGGTTTTAAAGTCCACTCCAAAGCGGAAGTAGTAAATGAAAACAAATGAAAGAAAAACATGATTTGTCAATTGTCATTGTGATATCTGCATATTTTCATATCTCCTGTGGTTTTCTGCTTTTAGCATATAGTGTGATGATATATAAAGACCAAAGGTCGCTGTTGAACACGTACTCTCGGTACACATGATATAAAGTCGAGGAAAATGCCGTTTGGAATCAATAAAATGTTCAGCTTTATTTTGACGTGTATTATAAATTGCCTCCTAAAATTGCTGCTAAAATTTGAAGCGCCAGAAGCGAAACTGGAGCGGACAGAAGGAGTATTATTAAAATCATGTAAACGGTTTTATCAAGAGAAGTTTGTTACTGTGGAAGAAAATGTGTGTATACGCACTGTAATATTTAACCCTGGCGTGCCTAACAGACCACCATTGGTGTTGCTACATGGTCTGAATACAGGATTATGTTCATTTCTTCATAGCGTGAAACGATTGAGTAGAAATTGTACAGTTTATGCCATTGACTTGCCAGGATTCGCGCGAAGCTCGAAGCCTCAGATATCAGGAGATGTGGACGAAATTGAACGTAAATATGTAAGATGGTTAGAGGTATGGCGACAAAATCTCGCCATTGAGAAGTGCTTTCTACTTGGTCATGATTTTGGTGGGTACATCGCAACTTTGTACACTCTCGCTCACCCCTGGAGAGTGTGCCAGTTAACACTATATGAACCATGGGGCTTTCCTATATTGCCTTTTGGTATGACAGATCGCAGTCCAAATAAAAATTCCATTGAACATTCAAAATTCTTTCCAACTTGGCTCAATAAACTAGATACAGTTTTTCACTGTGTGCGACGTTTGAACTTTGTCTACGCTATCTTCTGCTTCTACTGCCGACAAATACAATCCTTCTTTCAAATGATTACACACCCTTGCAAGTTCTTGCAAGATTTATTCAAAAGGCCAGAAGCATGGTTTCATTACAAAACATTGTGTCAAGAAGCTCAAAATTCATCTGGTAAAAGTGCTTATAGCAGGTTAAGTGTGTTAAATGTCTGGGCGAGATATCCGCTGATAAGACGAATTAATTCACTCGATGATCGAGTACCGATAACATTTATTTTTGGTTCGAAATCCTGGTTTGATCATCGTTCAGCTTATGAAGTGAAGTGTTCAAGATCCAATCAAGATTCAGTAAGTGTTCATATTATTGAAGGTGAAGGCAAAGAAGCTATACACACAGAGAACCCGAGAGAGTTTGAATATATAATATTGCAGAAGTTGTGTTCGTACGAGGAAGAACAGGATGAAGGATGGATAGAAGATGATTGGATCTCGTGTGATTACTCAGAAGATGAGACTTATAATGCGATTTAAACACGGACTGAGAACACTCTCGTTTATTTAGCTTTAATGAAATTGCTGTGAAAGATTTGGAACAAGCCGGCTTATACGATCAATAGAACTGTTCCAAATGTTGATTTCAACTCGTGTAACTCACCTCAGACATCATCACTAAAATTTAGGATAAATTATTATAGCCATAGTTATAGCCATAGGTACTCATGCGTTTATTGAACATGCGTTTATTGAACATGCGTTTATTGAACATGCGTTTATTGAACATGCGTTTATTGAACATGCGTTCCAAACAGCTTTTGTTGCACTCGCAGGATTTTGTTGCTCGCACTACACAGCATAAAATTTATATTTTTGTATTTGCAGTTATAGACAATGCTTTAATAACAATGTGATTGTGTGTAATACGACTATGGCAGTTCCTTTCGAAATTTGTAGTGTTCAATTAATTGAATGGCCACAGTTTAACACTTCAACTATATATCGACGGGGCACTGAAAATTGCCGCACGTAAACCAGTTTCCTGCGAAGGCAGTTCAACCATAGATGAGTTTAACTTGAACTGGCTTACAAAAATCTCTGTTTTAATTCATGAATATTGATGATGTGGAAGTCGGTTTCAAAATCTTTCAGTGTAAAGTTGAAATTGTTTTGGTGCAGCACAAGCTGTAAGCGGCTAGCAATTTAAATCATTTCTGTGCTTCTTTTACAGTAACACTATTTCAATAGTCTTTTTAGGAAAGTGCGATCTAGAATGGTGGTTGCCAAAGATTTAGTATTTTCCTGACAAAGAGCCTTTGCTCAAAACGTCAGAGTTTTTTGAAAGAACTTCTT